GAGCCACACGAGTACTCAGGAATACCACTAAACCCATGAGCCATCAGGGTTAATGAGTGGCCCTGGGCACATTGCTAAACTCTCTGCGCCTGCATTTCCTTATCTGTGAGACAGAGCTAGTAATAAACCTGTCTAGGTTTTTTACTATCTAGGGATGAGGTTGCCTAGATAATTTCCAAAGATTATACATGGAAAAACATATAGAACAGTTCTAGAACATACTATTTGCTAATTAGATGTTAGTTATCATCATCATCTGCATTTAAATTTAAAAGGATAAAATGGGTCATCTGAGTACTTGTTCCCTGGAAGTCCCTTCCAGTGATGGTAACATTTTTCTCTTTCTTGAGACAGGGTCTCACTTTGTCACCCGGGCTGGAGTTCAGTGACAGGATCTCGGCTCACTGCAGCCTCGACCTCCTGGGCTCAAGCGATCCTCCCACCTCAGTCCCCCAAGTAGCCTGGACTAAAAGCACGTGCCACCATACTCAGCTAATTTTTTTTGTTGTTGTTGTTGAAATGGGGTTTTGCTTGTTTAGGTTTGTTGTGGGAAGTCAGGGACCCCAAATGGAGGGACCAGCTGAAGCCGTGGCAGAAGAACATAAATTGTGAAGATTTCATGGACATTTATCACTTCCCCAATCAATAACCTTGTGATTTCCTATGTCTGTCTTTACTTTAATCTCTTAATCCCGTCATCTTTGTAAACTGAGGAGGATGAGTGTCGCCTCAGGACGCTGTGATGGTTGCGTTAACTGCACAAATTGTTTGTAGAGCATGTGTGTTTGAACAATATGAAATCTGGGCACCTTGAAAAAAGAACAGAATAACAGCGATGTTCAGGGAACAAGGGAGGTAACCTTAAACTGACTGCCAGTGAGCCGGATGGAACAGAGCCATATTTCTCTTCTTTCAAAGGCAAATAGGAGAAATATCACTGAATTCTTTTTCTCAGCAAAGAACATCCCTGAGAAAGAGAATGCGCCCCTGAGGGTAGGCCTATGAATGGCCCCTGTGGAGATGGCCGCCTCTTAGAGTCGAAGCTGAAGGGATGAAATAAGCCCTGGTCTTCTGTAGCACTCCCAGGCTTATTGGGATGAGGAAATTCCCACCTAATAAATTTTGGTCAGACAGGTTGTCTGCTCTTAAACCCTGTCTCTTGATATGATGTTATCAATGACAATGCGTGCCCGAAACTTCATTAGCAATTTTGATTTGGCGCCATCCTGTGGTCCTGTGATCTCGCCCTGCCTCCATTTGCTTTGTGATATTTTATTACCTTGTGAAGCATGTGATCTCTGTGACCCACACCCTATTCGTGCACTCCCTCCCCTTTTGAAAATCACTAATAAAAACTTGCTGGTTTTACGGCTCAGGGAGCATCACGGAACCTGCTGACGTGTGATGTCTCCTCTGGACACCCAGCTTTAAAATTTCTCTCTCTTCTACTCTTTCCCTTTATTTCTCAAACCAGCTGAGATGCTTAGGGAAATAGAAAAGAACCCATGATAAATATCGGGGGTGGGGTTTTCCCTGATACAGGTTGGCCTCGAATTCCTGAGCTTAAGCGATCTGCCCACCTTGACCTCCCAAAGTGCTAGCATAGCAGGCATGAGCCCATGTCCGGCCCAGTGATGGTAACTTTAAAAATTTTCCTATTCTTGTCATGGAATAATCATACCTTTACCATTTTTTTTTTTTTAGCCTGAGATAATTAAAGACATGTAAGTAGAAAGTTCTCTAATATTAGTGGAATGGAATCAATAATTATTTTTTTCTTTAGATTTATTCCAGTCTAAAGATTTAAATCTACACTGTCATCTGTTAGCACAGCTCCCAAGAAAATTGTACTAGTACTTTGTTTGAGAAGGGCTTGATACTTTCAAAGCAACTTTGAATAGTAATTAAACAACATCTCCATGAAGCAGGTCAGTACTTTCATCTTTCAGAATAGGTAAACAGGACACAGAGAAGTAAAATAATAATTTGCCTTAGGTTATGAAGTAGCCTATCATTTGAAATTACTTCCTGTCAATTAACTAGTCTATGGTTCAATCTGACAGGCCAAGCTACAACAAAAAAAAAGATCAAAATACTACTTTGTACATTGTTATATATTAGTGAGTCATCAGTGTATCTTGTCCTTCACAAATCAGAACTTTGCATCTCATGTTCTGGCTGCTTTTATTGACCTTCCTTTCCCAGTCCCCTTATTTTTCTAGCTAATTTTAACTCATGCTTTATAATATGACTCATATGGAACCTCTAAGGAGCCTTGCCTGCCTTGCTGTCTCATTTAGAGTCTTCTACTCATTGCTCACATAGCATTCTGGGTCCCACCGCTTATCTCCATCACGGCACTAACTAGACTCTATTATGATAAGGGACTTTCTGAGGAAAAGGAACATTTCTTTTTTGTCTTTATATTCTCTAGCATAATATCTAGCATATGATATTTGCTCAGCAAATATTTTTGAATGAAAAATGCATATATGAGATATATATTAGTCAGGATAGGAGAGGATGTGCTATAATAACAAACACATACTAAGTTTATTTCTCACTTAATAGAAATGTCTAACATAGGTCAGAAGAAGGCTCTGCCTGCTTAACTCAAAGATGCAATCTGACCAGACTCTACCACCTTATGATGCTGCATTTTCTAAAGCAGGTGGACTCCTAGATTGACAAGGAAGGCGAAAAAAATGCTGGAGGAGTGCACACTGAAAATGAAATTCACTGTGATCAATAATTTCCATTCAGAAATCATTGGCCAGAGAGCTACTCACTTGAGACCTGAAACAGACAATGTCTGTCCTTGGCTTAAATCCCTGATTGGCATGTATTCAATGGCCAGCACCTGTGACTTTTCTTCAATGGCTTCCATTTGGGTTACTGGAGCCCCTTTGCACCAAGAGCCAGAAATGCCTGGTGCATACTTTCAAGTGGCTGCTGAATTTTTTTTTTTTTTTTTTTTTTTTTTTTGAGACTAAGTCTCACTCTGTCACCCAGGCTGAGTGCAGTGGTGTGTTCACAGCTCACTGCAGCTTCGACCTCCCAGGCTCAAGCGATTTCAGCCTCCCAAGGAATTGGGACTACAGTTGAGCACCATTATGCTTAGCTAATTTTTTATAGAGATGGGTTCTCACTATGTTGCCCAAGCTGGTCTTGAACTTTTAGGCTTAAGAGATTTGACTGCCTCAGCCTCCCAAAGTGCTGGGATTATAGGCGTGAGCCATAGCACCTGGCTGTGGCTATTGATTAGAGGCTGTTTTGTAGAGGAATATTAGCTCAGCTCCCTTGCTTCAGGTTGGGACAACCCTGAGAAATTGCTTGCCCTCCAAAATTCTCCTGTGGGATCTTCCTAAAGCTTACCCTGTGTGGGACTTCTGCCTTTCTTGGCTTTATTTCATTCTCTGTCTTGCTTCTATCACATCCTTACAGTCTTCCTTGAGAATATTTCCTTAATATATCATTTGCATATACATTCTTGTCTTACAGATTGGATCTGGGAAACTTGACCTAAGACAATGTCACCTAACTAAAAGGTGGGCAGGGAAGTTTAATGCATCACGTTTCCAGAAAGAAAGAACTGATGTAGGTGAGCGCTCTGATGTCTGCGACAGCATAATGAAAGGCAATTTGGTAATTAAAGAAAGCTAGTTAATTCTAGCCATGGGGACTGGACACAGGAAAGGAAAGGCAGGATTGCATGGGAAAAGCATCATTGAGAAGAGTGACTTCACTGCAAGTAAAACACTGAGGAAACCAAGCTAGTAGTCCAAAATGCAAAGCTGAAAGAAGTCCTACTCTTGGTCCTAACAGGAGTCGTTATTTCAGAAGAACCAATTGTGCAGTAATTATTAGAGATGACAGGTAATGCAAGGGGTCCATGTCATATCAGAGTATAAATATGTACAAGGAAGCAAAAGTACCAGAAGAAGTCAATTTGATGGCGTTCTGATTCTGGGTTATTATTTTAAAGCAGGTCCTTAGTTAACGACTAATAGTATGGAGAATTCTAGAATAGGATGTGGCCTTTGGTGGAAAAGTGGTAGTAAATTCTATGCAGGGCCTCTGGGTATTGGAGAAACAGACTAGAGACTCTAATTTTGGTGGAGTACTAGTAGGGAAGAAAAGGCATAATCCTAGTTCAGTGAGGTGGGCAGCACTGAGAGGGGTAGAGGTAAGCTGCACTTGATGGACACAGTTTTGCCCAAATCTCACAGATGGTCTGGGTACTGGTCCTGTAGCTGCAAGGTTCATCCCAGATGCCTCTGGCTGATTTTTCTTGCTCTGGTGAGGAAACGCTCAGCTTCCATTGGATAAAAATCCCTTTGGCAATAAGAGCTGCAAAGTAAAATATTTTCTCTTAATGCTTCTAGATTTTGAGTCATAGTTAGAAAGGATTTCTCTACGTTCATGTTTTATTTTATTTATTTATTTTTAACCACACAGATAGAACTTTTCAATGTAATCTGCTGGTTCTACACTTTATAGTTTATTTTATTTACCACTGACCAATGATCACATGTGAGTGACTTTGCCATGACCTATAACCAGTGCTTGATGATTGTAAAACACCCACCAGCTGGTGGAGCAAATTCCTCCCTGCCCAAGAGGATGCTTTCAGGAGCTTTCTGGGCACAAAATGCTTCTCAGTGGACAATTTTTAAAACACACTTATAGAGTCATGTGGATCCCCTATTTGCATTGTCACTAAGGGAAAAAAAAAAAAGATATAACCTCAAAATCAGTGAAGAGATGGGGGTTCTCAGGAAGGATTTTGACCTGCTATTTCTGAGGAATAGCAGAAATTTATGAAAATTCTGATTTTTCCTACAACCATATGATGGTATCATGCCTACCTCTTGCTTCCTGAACATGGAGGCCACAGTCATCAGCTGAGAAGCCACAGTTTCCGACTCTGTCAGCCTCTTAACGATGTGCTGGGATAGGGGGAGCTGGAGATGTCCTCAGCAGAACTTCTGTGTCCCCTCTCAGTGGTAACTCCTGTCCCTGCTCAAGTGTTCCGCCCTCACCCACAGTTGTCTTTTCCCTTCAAAAAGCGGGATGCGTGCAGCCATGGCTGAGTTGAGGCTGTCCACACCAGGTACAACAGGGATCAGCAGCCTGTTGCCCCCAGGGCTCTCGGCCAACTACAGAGAATCCAGGCTCATGCCATAGGTCTCGCTGCCAACCACTGCAGCTGCTGGTGGCTCTGTCCAGTCGAAGCCATAACTCTGAACCTCAATAACAGGTAGCAAACCTTTACTGGCTCCAGTTTCTAGACCTTCCTTTTCTTCGTACTTGTGAAACTTCAGGAATCGACAATCACACACCCAGCCATAGTCACTGTCTTTATTAGACATCTGAGCCTCAGCATAAAGGCTTCGGTTGTCAGCCAAACAGACCTGGGTGTCAGGGGGCAGGTAATTTGCCACTGTTTTTGTTTTCAGACTACTGATAATGGGCACCTGGAAAAGTACACCCATACCCACCCGTAGCACTTTGGGCTCCTAGGCATCCACACATTTCAAAATGACTAACACTTTGCTGCAGCCTGCCCCAGCTGGGGATCTCAGAATTGTCCCCAGATTCCCAGGGTCACAGAGATTGTCACAAATCAATAACAAAGGCAGTGAGTGCTAAAGCTGAGTCTTTGGATATGTCATGTTAACATGGTCAGGTTTGGCAAAAATCCCCATTATTCTTGTGGCATTACTAGGTTGGACCAATTCCTCATGTCCTCGAATTTCATCTTAATGAGGCTGACACCCTTCAGCTTATCGATGAGCAGCTTCTTTATGTATTATAGATGGCTAGAGAAGAAAACTTTTGGCACAGCTCCAGCCTTGAGAGCGTCTGTAAGGAGCCTGCGACCTTTCAGCAGTATCTTCCCTTGCTTTTCCCAAAATGGCCTGGACTTAACTGTTGTCATTACACTGCAGGTTCTGCGGCATGAGGAATTTGCAGAAGGCTGCAAGGCTGCCTGTAATGGGTATGATACTTTGTTTCTTAAAATCTTCTTTAGGCTCTGAATACATCTATGAATATAAGCTGTTAATTTACATGATCAGGGTGAGAGAGACCACCCAGGGAAATATGTGGCCTTCTATCTTGTAGCTTATCCGCATCAGGTTTCTCCATCGACAGAGTGGGTATGATGACAATGTATCTTCCTCACTGAGTTTTGAGCAACTTTTCGTTGAGATCACCTATATACAGTGTCTGGTATGGGATCATGTACGTAGCAGCACTGACATTCATGTCTTAAATGAACTCGTTCACATTCTCTTCTAGTAATTATATGATTTAATATTTTACATTTGGATACCTGATGTGTTTGGAGAATTCTCTTTTGAATAGATGAAGTATGGACCTAATTTTGTCTTTTTCCAAAATTCTTTTTTTTTTTTTTTTTTTGGTCTGAGACAGTGTTGCTCTGATGCCCAGGCTGGATAGAGTACAGGGGCATGATCACCATTCACTATAGTCTCAACTTCCAAAGGCCTAAGTAATCCTCTCACCTCAGCCTCCCCAGTAGCTGGGACCACAGGCACATGCCACCAGGTCCAGCTAATTTTTTTAATGTTTTGTATAGATGAGGCCTCACTATTTTGCCCAGGCTGGTCTTGAACTCATGGCCTCAAGTGATCCTCCTGTCTCAGCCTCCCAAAGTCCTGGGGCATGAGCCACTGCACCTGGCTCCAAAATTCTAATATGTGAATACGATTTTTGTTAAAGACTATCATTTCCCCCCTGTGATACAAACTTCCACATCTATCATTTACTAACTTTCTTATGTGCTTGGATCTATTTCTGGACCTGGTATTCTTTTTTATTGGTCTCTCTATTCCTGCATCCACACTCTACTTTTTTAATTATAGAGGCTTTAAAGTATGTTTTATGTCATGTAAGTCTACTTTTCACTCATTAGTTTTTTTTTTTTTTTTTTTTTGAGACCGAGTCTTGCTCTGTCACCCAGGCTGGAGTGCAATGACACGATCTCAGCTCACAACAACCTCCACCTCCCAGGTTCAAGTGATTCTCCAGCCTCAGCCTACTGAGTAGCTCGGATTACAGGAGTGTGCCACCATGCCCAGCTAATTTTTGTATTTTTTTTAGTAGAGATGGGGTTTTGCCATGTCGGCTAGGCTGGTCTTGAACTCCCGACCTCAGGTGATCTGCCCACTTCAGCCTCCCAGAGTGTTAGGATTACAGGTGTGAGCCACTGTGCCTGGCCAGCTTTTATTTCTTCTTCTTCTTCTTTTTTTGGTGATGGAGTCTCATTCTGTCACCGAGGCTGGAGCGCAGTGGCATGATCTTGGCTCACTGCAACCTCTACCTCCTGGGTTCAAGCAATTCTCTTGCCTCAGCCTCCCAAGTATCTGGGACTACAGGCGCATGCCACCACAGCAGGCTAATTTTTTGTGTTTTAGTAGAAATGGCGTTTCACCGTGTTGCCCAGGCTGGTCTCAAACTCCTGAGCTCAGGCAATCTGCCCACTTTGGCCTCCCAAAGTGCTAGGATTATAGTCGTGAGCCACTGCGCCTGGCCTGGCCTAGCTTTTCTTTATTTGGAGTTTCCCTATGTATTCTTGCATGTTTACTTTTCCACATGAATCTTAGCATTAATCTATCTTCATCAAATAACAACAACAACTTCAGAGTATCTTTATTGGGATCACATTTAATTTATATATTAAATTAAAGGGAATTTACATCTTTATAATATCGAGTTTTCTTTCCCAAAGAGAAAGGATGTATTTCCATTACTTCAGGCCTACTTTCTGAATTTGAGTATTTTAAGGTTTTTCTTACATAGGTTTTGCAGTTTTTGTTGATTTATTTCTAAATATTTCTTTCTGCCCTTATTTTAAACATTTGCTTCTTTAATTATATATTTTTAACATCTGCTACCTTATTAAATGTTTTTTCTTACTTGCGTTAGTCTTAGCATTGATTATCTTCTGTGTTTTCGGTATACCAATGTATCATATGTCATTACATACAGTTTTACTCTGTTTTCTAATTTTTTTATTTTTAGTTTTAGTTTTTAAGAAATAGGATCTTCCTGTGTTTTTCAGCCTGGCCTCAAACTCCTGGGCTCAAGCCCTCCTCCCACCTCAGCCTCCCAAGTAGCTAGGACTCCAGTTGCCAGGTATGCACTACTGCACTGGGTTCTTTCTTTTCAAATTCTTACAATGCTGCTTATTTTCCCTTGTATGATTTCACCAGCTAATACCTTTGGTCTAAGTTTAGTAGTAGTGGAGCTGATAGGTATCCTTACCTTGTTCCTGACTTTGGCGGGCATGTTTCCATCATGTCTCTATATATCCATCATGTCATAGCATGTATATCAATTTGTACAGCTTTTAAAAAATATCTAGCCCTATGTGCAGAGTGGGGCCCGAGAATTTGTTTTCTAAAAAGCTTCAGAACTGATTCTAATGTAAACTCTCAAGAATGTATTCTATAACAATATAAGGTATAAATAAGTAAAATAATCAACTGTGCAAACATTTATTTAGTTACATTTTGTATAGGATCTGGAGATACAAAGATAGGCTCTTTACTTTGAGAAGCTCGATGTAGTAAAGACGTACAAAATAATGATTGCATACAATATAATTATTACAGAATAGAAAGTGTTTCATCACTAGCATATTTGCCAAAACTTATTCTCTAGAGAGTTCACAAAAAAATTTACTTTTAAGTTTTATAAAACTGTGTCCTATAAAACTATTTATTAGTCTCTGGTTTTTAAAATAATTCAAAATTGGCATTCATCAACAGTTACTGCCTAAAAGTTATGATTCTAAATTTTCTGCTGTGTCCTCTCTTTGCGACATGTGTTACTTTCAAACTGTAACTGCATCAATTACGGCAAGCAGTCACATTCATTTTGGGGTTTTCATAATTATTTTATAATCAAAGTTCAATCAGTTGTCTATTAAACAAAGTTATGCAAATAAAAATTCTGAAAGGAAAAGAATTATCTTACTTTTGTTAAAGGACTTATACTAATACTTTAAATGTTTTGTACCTACCACAAACCTACTCTGAGACCCATCTTTTTCCTCAGTGCCTATTGACTTCTGTTCTTTTTAATTTCTCAGCAGGTTTCACATTTGGAAGAGGGTAGAAAAAGTGGTCCTCATGTTTGGGATGGGGGTAGACATTTTGAAAAAAGAGGTGATAGGATTTTTAACCTAAAATGGGCTATAGAATTTAAAAAATCAAATATAGTAGGGTAAACTTTTGGCCTCCTTTGTACTTCAGCTTACACTGGTGCAGCATCTGGGTCTCATTCTCTTGCCTTGCAGGCTCGTTTTCTGCCTGTTGGGTCTGATGTACCTTTAGTTTAGGAGTTACCTGTGAATCAGAAAAGGTAGAGGTGTCATTATAAGGTATGAGGAGAGAAAACACGAAAATGGATGCTTAGGATTAATTTTAGATGCTGTATTTCCAAAGAGACTAGTAGAGAAGATTTCAGATTTTTTTTTTTTTTTTGTCATGTGCTGACCCTGATTTATTAAAATAGAAGAAGGGACACAGGGCAGATGCTCTTTTCAGAAACAACGGTTATTTATTTGGCTAGGTTAGTATTTTGCAGGAACATAAGCTTGTAATTGAGAAACAGGTAGAAGTAACTCGGTAGAGGACAATCTATCAAGCCTCTGGCAGAAATCCTGTCAGCTATGAAAGATGTCACATTATTGTCCATGTTCTTGAAGTGGCAATATTAGTGGCCAGGTTTATTGGTGTTTTACATTTACTTTCAGTTTTTTATATGTGAGGGGAAAGCTCGTGCAGATATCTAAGTAGCATGTATGAAGTAGAAAATGGTTTTCGGTCATTACTTTTCTAAAATATAACATTAACTTCCTAAGCATTTGGAATGCTGTTCATAATTTCTTTTTTTTGGCAGTTTTTCTACACTTCATGGAGTAAGTGTATTAAGCATATCAATGAACTGTGTATATCATCTGTTTGCAATTTCCTTTCTGGCAGTATAAGGGTGAAAACCTTCTAACTCGGTATTAGTATTATCCATGGGTGAGAGTGTGGTGTTTTATATACTCCTTAGTATCTATAAAGTCTTTGGTGTGAGGAATGAGGAATTGCCACGTGGGTCTGTTGGTTATTTATTTTGTGTTTTAAAACTCTATCTGCATGTCACATAAAATAACAACTTAAATAGTGCCAAACTGTGTCACAGCTTGGTTTAGTTTGGGATCAGTTACTACTTTTGACATCAGGGTAAGGTATCTTATGGAAGTAATAAAGAATTTCAGTAAGTAGATAATAAAGAATAATAAGTCACATATTTCTTGTCTCAAACCAGATTTCTTTGCATCTAACTTTTTCTTCTCGGAGCTGAACACAACACCTAAAGCCATGTTAATTTGCAGTTCTATTGTAATGAATTCTCATGAAAATCTGAGTTCTGTCATCAGGAACATCCAGGGGTCAATTCATTAATCTTGTACCCAAACCTTTCTTTTAGACACACCCACACACATACACACACTCATGTAAAGGATGGTAAAATATTGTTTCAGTTCAGTGAACAAGGACTTAATAGCTTTCTGTGTCAAGCTTATATATCAACCTATCTGTGCATATGTTTGAATTAATATTATTGCTAATAGCATAAGAGGTATTCCTGAAGATGTAGATTCCAAGAATATGAGCTAGCCTTAAAGGTCAGACTAGCCCACTACCCATTAAATAGGTATAAACTACTGCAGACTTAGAACTAAGGATAGAATTTCTTTCTGTGTATTAATCATTCTCAACTAACAACTTAATGGTTTGTATGATT